ACACACACACACACACACACACACACACCCCACATGCACACACAGACACACCAACACACACACATACGCAAACAAACACACAAGGGAGATAACACATGCACACACTTACGCAAAAATCTTCTCTATGAACACAGATCTGTGCTATCTGAATATTATAACTTGCTTTACTCAGAACGTGGTTCATCTGAACCAATGTTTACTGTTCACATGTACAAAGAATGCGGACTGGCCTATGAATGTGGTCACTTTGACAGTGAGAGGACCTATCATTCGAAATTTAATTTAGCCACTACTCATTTGCAATAGCAAAAGTATTTTTTACTTGAAAATCCCAGTTTCAAGATCCCGATTTTGCGGAACAAACACCTTTTTCAAGATCCCAATAATCCAGTCAATATTATACACTTTTACTTTCACATCTGCTGGCCTGGAAGCATCTGGCGATCACGTGGCTTTAATGCACCCAGGTTGGCTTGTATCAAGCTTGAGGCGGTCTAAAATCCTAAATATTATCATATTATTTAGTGGGCAGTAGAGCTGTGCTATTCGACTTTGCTATTCAACATTTACAATTTTTACGTCGTTCATAGCTATTCTAAGCGAGGTAGCGCCGTTTGAATGCAGTGTGATTGTTTGCAGATAATGGATTTTCGTCTCAATTCTCTCGAATTGTCGTAAATTAGACTATAATATTGTATTCAAAACCATTGCCGCCAAACAGCTATATTTTTCTGCTTGGTGATTACGAGATCGAGTGATACGTGGAGCCATGAAGAGTTATGCAGCAACCCTCTAACTATAAGAAGTATTTATTTCCATTCAATTTCCAAAAGTTGCAACATGAAACGTCCACTTGACTGCCTTCGAAGCGCGTCAGGTGGAACAGCTAGAAGGTTTTAGTGTTAGTGGAGGTTTTACGACGCTCTCAACTGCATAAGGTCATATGAGCGCCAGAAGATTAGAGGTGTTACAAGAGAGTAAAAAAGGAGGGGAGATAAAGACGATAGATGTGTGATATGAAAGAAAGAGAAAACCACCACACCAGAGCACCTGCCAACCACCCACAGCTAGAGGGTTATAGGTTGATCTAGGACCGTGGGAGTCAGTCTTTCTTTGTTCCTCGCTCGTCATCCTGCTTTTTCGATTAGGGGTAACTGTGTTGTATATTAGTATCTGAGTGATGTGTGTATCGTTTGTGTGTGTAAGTGTATGCATTTGTGTGTGCTTGTGTGTGCTTATGTCTGTATGTGTGTATGTATGTGTGTGTGTGTGTGTGTGTGTTTGTGTGTGTGTGTGTGTGTGTGTGT